CCAGTTCACTCCCGTATTTTTGAGTAGTCAGCGTTTGTGGCACCCTCGCCGCTGCACAGTTGGAAAAATGGAACTACGTACCCAAAATCCAATATGGCTGCACTGGGCTGCACACAGCTGTACATGGCCATCACCAGCCACCACCACACATAGCTGCTCAGTTATTTTCTTTGGAAAATTCAGGAAAGGTAATATTTTTATCTACTTTTTTACTGAATTAATATTCGCCCTGGTAAGTATGCGGCAGCGCCAACTGCTAAGAAAATGTGAAACTATTGAGATGGGTATAAACATTGACAAATATATACTTGAAACATACTTTAGAAATGGAGAAAAATAAAAATTCAGGAAAATGGTGTTGTGTGCCAGACTGCAAGTGAGTGAAAGGGGACAATATTTCCCTACACTATTTTCCAAAAGACAAGGATTTAAGAAAAAAATGGACAATAGCTTGCAAAATTGGGAAACCAGTGACACCCTACATGCAAGTATGCGGCAGACACTTCTCAGACTATCACTTTGCAGGAGGTATAGTGTAAAATCAAATATTTTTTATATATTTTAAAAGCATGTAAATACTAATAATAAAATGTATGCTTATTTTGGCCTTTGAAGATGTTTAAAACTTATTAGTTACAACTGTTTCCAGGTGCACATGCAAAGGTACGGCGTTTAAAAACGTCCATAGCTGTTCCTACATTATTTTTACCTCGTAGGCCACTGGATCGAATACCTACAGATAAACAAAAAAAAGAAACCGAAGAACGAGCTGAAAGATTGAACCGACGTCAATGTAGGTTGGTATTTTGGAGTTATACGAAAAATTCATAACCTTATTTATCTTTTTCAAATAATCTAAATGTCAGAGTTCTTTTATCTATTCTTATTTAAACTAATTTTGATTAAAATGATTATAATCGTTTAATTATATTATTTTATTTCATTCGCAGATCAAGTGATATGTCAACAGAGGCATTAGAAATGAGAAAATCTGTAGAAAATGATGCTCCTGTAGTAATGCATGAACAATCATGCTGTTCAAATGATGCCGATGATTCCATCAGTGATGAAGAAATGACGAAGAATGACGAAGAAAGGGAAAACATTAACCCAGAAGTGGAAGCGGCAAATGTCCTTATGGAATTACAGTTTGCAGCGTTAAATGCCTCAGCGGAGACTAAAATCATGCTCGAAAAAGGAAGCACAGTAATTAAATCTGTTACTGGTAATAAAGTAACTCTATCGTCTCTCATTAAAAGTGATGAAGATTTAGTTGCTTTCACTGGGATTCAATTATCACTTTTGTCTGGTTTGTGCGAAGCTGCTCAATTATTCGAGAAAAAGAAAATTATTCTTAAAAAGAGTGATATTAGTATTCGTGATAGAGTCATTCTAGTTTTAAGCAAACTTCGACTTAATTTATCTTTTCGGTGTTTAGCAGTTTTATTCGAAGTTAAGACGTTTGTGTAGGAGGTATTTTGTAATTACTTTACACACGCTATTTTGTATTTTAAAATCAGCCATTTATTGGTCACAAAAAGACGAGATTTTACAAAATATGCCGAAATGTTTTGCTGAATTCAAACAAACCAGATTAGTTTTAGATTGCACTGAAATTTTTGTCGAAAGACCTACCTGCTTAAAATGTCGACTTAGGTTATATTCCCATTACAAGGGCTCCGAAACAATAAAATTATTGTTAGGGGTTACTCCGTCTGGATTGATTTCCTTTTTAAGTGAGGTGTATGGTGGCCGAGCTTCTGATAAGGCTATTTTTAATCAAATAGAATTATTAAGTAGGTTAATTCCAAATGTTGATGCGATTATAGTTGACAAGGGTTTCTTAATTGATGTGGAATGTGCTGAACACCATATCGAATTGATAGTACCTCCAAGACTGGGAAAAAATAAGCAGCTTAGCGAGGAAAATGTTGTAAAAACGAGAAAAATTGCAGCTGCTCGTGTACATGTGAAAAGAGCAATTCAGCGAATAAAACTATTTAGAATTTTAAAAAGTAAGCTGTCTTGGTCGATGGTAGGGCATATTGATAAGACATGTACAATTATTGTAGCACTAGTTAACTTAAGGGGTATGGACAGTGTGAAGGCCTAAAAAATCGGAGGTTCTTTGGAATTTTTATTCTTAAATATAACAAAGTCAGGTAATTTTGTTTTATGGCATCTTTATTGTATCAATTCTGAGGTACGTAAAAAAATTTTTTTTGTCTCGATTACTTATATATAGGCTGCTATACAAAAGGGTAATCTTGAACAGTTACTTTTGCCTCGTTGACAGCAAATCAAAAAATCTACTCGACCTATTGACTTGATGTAAATTGCATTTTGTTCAGAAAACTTACTTCTATAGCAGGACGTAGGGAAATTACAAAATTGCAAAAAGTAACAAAATGGCGGACATATGAATTCTTTTTTTTTAATTTGACCTTTTTTACAAAAAGCCTTTGTTACAAAAAAGTTGAATAAAATTGTGAAATTTTTATTAATTAAAAAACGGCTACGTCCAGCGATAGAGGTAAGTTTTCTGAACAAAATGCAATTTACACCGAGTCAATAGGTCGAGTAGATTTTTTGATTTGCTGTCAACGAGGCAAAAGTAACTGTTCAATATTACCTTTTTGTACAGCAGCCTATACATAAGTAATCGAGACAAAAAAAATTTTTTTATCAGAATTGATACAATAAAGACGCCATAAAACAAAATTACATATAAAACAAAATTACCTGACTTTATTATATTTTTTAAAAAAATTCCCAAAGAACCTCCGATTTTTCAGACCTTCACACTGTCCATACTCCTTAAGTGACCCAATATTGTCAGATGATAAATATTAATATTTGTAATAAAATTGATTTGTAATT